TCCCTTGACCTTCTCCTGCCCAAGAATGCACTTGGGTTTGGTTTGGCTTGTGCAGGCTCCCCTGGGGTCATTGGCTTAAGTCAGGGCTGGTAGATTAACAGAGTTAACACCCAAAAGCATGAGTTATTTCCACAAGTTCCCTCCCAAGATGGGGAGCCTGGCCGGCTGCATGGCTGCCCCTTTCAAGGCAAGCGAGCCGCTCCGCGTTCTGGATGAGGAAGGCCGGAGGCCTTTGTGGGCCGGGTGTGGGTTTGAATCCCAAGGTGCAGTCCCTTATTCGTGCTCTTAGCCTGCGGGAGCCGATGGTCCCCAGGTACAGGGTTGGCTGCACAGTCACCCGGGGAACTTGTTAAAAGACACAGATTCCATGCCCCCCCCCACCCCCACCCCCGAAATCAATATTAACTGGGAGTAGGGCCCCGGAGGCCGTCTCTTAAAAAATGCACATCCTGGTGTCTACAGCTGGGCCCTGTGGCTGTCCCCCCCCCCCCCCGCCCCCGCCCCGGGCGGGGCAGGTGCTCACTCTGTTCTGTCCTGCAGGTCCACGTGAAATCGGAGGTCCTCGCGGTCAAGCTATCCCAGGAGATAAACTATGCGAAGAGCCTGTACTATGAACAGCAGCTGATGCTGAGGCTCAGTGAGAACCAGGAGCAGCTGGAGCTGGACTCCTGAGGCTGAGGCTGCGCGGGGCTCGGACCCCCCTGCCAGCCGGAGCCTGAGGTAGAGGCCAAGCCTCAGCTCGGTTTGGGGGACGATCTCAAGGAACGAGAGGAAGCAATGCTGATGGGGACACTAATGGAAACCAACCGCATTGATCTGTGGGCCAGGGGTCACTTTAGATTATGGGGACGTAATTTTTTAAAGGTATCGGTTGAATAACGTTAAAAAGTGTCTGAGATGAACCTAATTTTTGGACTGCCCTGTATTTTGTTACCATGTATATATGTACAACTGTGTTTGTAAATATGTAGGCGTATTTCCCAGCAGGGCCTGTGATGTGTGTAAAGGCTTATTGACTGTAAAGTAATATAAAGTTATATTGGATCTTCTGTTGCACTAACTCCACGCGTCTGGTTCAGGGAACTCTCTGAAAGGCACTCGAAAGCCGGAGCGTGTCAGGTCTCAGGGCCGGAAACCAGCGAGTTCCCAGCGCAGGGGCCTGTGGGTGGCGGGCGGTGCTGGAGAGCCCCCTTGGACCTGCGGATCTCGGGCCGGAACCGGAGCCGGCCCTCGCAGAGGCAGGGAATGGCCCCGAAACCCATCTTTTCTGTATTTCTCTCCCCCATTTTAAAGCCAGGTGTTGGATTATGACAGGTTATTTTCCTGCCCGTCTCCTGCTTCGCCGGGCTTTGAGGGAAATCGGGTGTTGTGACCGCACTCGCCCACACGAGCACCAAGCTTTCCCTGGGTGAGTATCGGGGAGTCCGTTTGGTTTCGAAGGAAAAAGTCCGTGGAAATCTTTGTTTTAACAAATCAAAAATCCGCACGTTTCCTGAGGCCCACAGTAAGGACGCTTTCCTCCTGGGCAGCAGCGGAGAAGGGCCGAGGACTTCGGAATAAAGCCGCAGGCACCAGCTCCACACACACAGCCGGCCGGACGCAGTGGCGGGGACACGGGGCGAGCGAGAGGGCGTGTCTTAGGAAAGGGAAGGAAGTATGAGTATTAAAGGGCTGGGTCACTTCATGGTACCAAGATGTGGCCAGACCTCCCTGTGCGTGGCTTTCGGTTCCGACGCCACAAGGCCATATGCGTGCCTCCCTTTCCCGGGCCTCGTTGTGTTTTCCTTTTCTGTGAAGAAGAGACAAGTTGGGGGTTGGGGGAAGGGATTCACTATAAAATGAATGACTAGCCTTGTGATTTAAAATTTTTATTTTCATAAAGCTAATCAGTGTCCACCACCATGTCAGATGCAGCCGAGATCTGAAGTGACTTGGTGGGCCAGTGGGCGTGGAGACAGCTTCCAACGCATGACCCAGGTCCTTCTAAGATACAGATGACACTGGTCTCGCCTCTCCCTCCCGCAGGGGTGTGGGGTGGTCCCTAAAGAAGCAAGAGGCACTTCAGCACAGTGTTCAAGTGCTTCAGCTCAGGGTGTTCGCAAGGGTGGCCTTGCAATCCAGGGTCTGGTGTCACTGCACCCAGATTCCGGGACCTGCAGAGCTGCCACCTGGTCCTGCAGGGCTGTTGGTTGGTTGGCTGGTTGGCTGGTTGGTGGGTTTTTGCTGACGGGCAGTCGGGCCACGCAGTGCTCTGGGGCCTGGCCTCCCTCCCTGCACCCCACACATTCGCCTCCACAGCCCGCCGCCTCCATCACGACCTCTTCCAGATGAGGCCCTGGGAAGGGCTGTCATCAGAGCCTCTGTCACTTTCTGGAATGAAGTCCCTGAATCTCTGTGCCATGGTGAGGAGCTTAGTGTTACTAAAGAGAACGAGTCTGCCTTCCGCCCGCAGCAACGGGATATTCTGGGCTCTGACGGCAGAAAGCCGGGCGGGCGGGCGTCCTGCAGGATGGTGCTTCCCGGCCCAGGCCCCCCCACCCTCCTTTCTAATTTAATCGGCCCTTGAAATAGTTGTCCATCTCCCCCGATTGCGCAACGCCTCCCTGACATTTGCGCCTGAGAATGTTCCAGTGGGATCCAAAGACCAAACGGGGTGGGGCTGGGTGGGGGCAGGTGGGCACCACCGAGAGCTCTCTGGGCGCCCTGCCTTTGCCGCCTGCATGCCAGGTGTGGCGAGGAGGCCTCGGGGGCTCTGGGCGCAGGTTCCTAGTTTGCCAGGAAGGAATCCGAAGCTCTGAGGGAAGCAGCTCTGGTCCTGGCTCCATGGATGCCTGTTTCCTTGCGAGCTGGGCTTCAGCCAGCGATGCCCGAGGCTCGGTGAGGACCGTCTCCACCGCTTCTCATGCTGCCTCCGGTCACGGTTCCTCCCCGAGGAAAGTGAAGTAAACGGAAAGAGAAATCGGATAAGGAGAAATCCAAAGCCATCCTAATTCCCTGACCCAGCCCAGCTGGCCAGCCCAGGCCGCTGCCCAACCACAGCTGCTTTCTCTGCCCATGGAGAGGCCAGCCAGAGGGCACCGCTGGGCCTGGCCACCCTCGCCGAGAGGGGACAGCAGCCTCCCAGCCCCAGTGTCTCGCTGCTGGGTGGTGCCCACCTCCAGCTCAGAAGGTTCCAGGGCCACTTGGTTTTTAAGTGGCATCTGGGCCTCAAAATGCCGCCGTGGCTGCTTGAGGTGACCCTGAGAACAGACACCCGGTGCCGTGTGTAAACACCACCACAGCTGCCAGCCCGGCCGGCTCTTCCGCTCGCTTCTCATGTCGGGGTCGTTCTTGTTCTTCCTGTGGAATAAAATGCTTTGTTACCTTCCCAGGCCTGTGGTTTTCTTGGTGTTGCAGATTCTAGAACCATCTCCAGTGACAAATGCCCAGTGTGTTACAGCGTTCACATTCATGCCCCCTCTCCCTTTGCTGCACGGAGGCACATCACCCGGGCCAATCCTGCCCCTGACCCGCACTGGACACTTTCCGTCCGCAGGCCCGGGGTCGGGGTGTCCCACCACGCCGAGGTTGCTGGGCTGGGCCTGGCAGCGGGAGGTTGCCACTTACCAAGAAGGGGAGACTCAGGGGGAGCAGGTTTGGGGCTCCCTCAGCACATGCTAAGTTCAGGGTCCTGCTTGTTATCCACGAGAGTAGCCAGGAAGGCAGTGGCCTGAGAGTCCGGAATTGAGGCGATCGCGTCCAGGCTGGAGGCGCCGCTTGGGAGCCATCAGTGCACGAGTGACAGGTGGACCCTGGATGGAAGCCCCAGAGGACAGTGGGGGCAGTGAGAAGAGCCCCAGAGCTGAGCCCCAGGGGTCCCCCAAGTGTAGAGTCAGGCAGATAGAGAGGAACAATGAGGGGACCCGAGCAGGACCATGGGGGACGTGCCTGTGAAGCCGGGAGTGGGGCCTGGGAGCCGACCAGGATGGTTTGAGAGCGGGATTAACTGGCCAGCGCTGCCGAGGAGTCAGGTCGCATGAGACCAGCAGTTACTATCGGGTACAGCGAGCAGGTCCCGGATACCTCCCTGAGGGTGAAAGCCGATGGCAGCGGTTTCCAGGGAAAAAGGGGAATCGGGGGCGACACTGACTGACTGAGCTGTTCATGGGAGGACAGATGGCCGGCACTTCAGGGGAGAAGGCACGATGAAGGAAGGCAGTAACGAGAGAGGGAGCCGGTGGGCAGGTGGGGAAGCGGCAGGAGATGCTCATGTGGTCGCTTCTGTTTCCTGGGAGATTAGCAGAGAGACCAGGGCGGGGGGAGGGACTTGGAGAGGGGAGAGGATGTGCAGCTGTCAGTCAGGCCTGGGAAGGGAGCTGACCAGGAGCACGAGGGCCCATTTGGGGTTGGGGGTCATGAGTTACAATGAGACCAGGCAGCCTTGTTCAGCGCGGATTAGGCAAAGAATTGGATTTAATCAAGGAACGCACCCCCTTGCCTATTCCGACACCCCACCCACCGATGCCCCCAGAACCCAGCAAGAGCCAGTCAGAACCAACTGTCACACAAACCCTACACATCCCAAACCAAACCAACGCCCTTTCTACATGCGGAGACCGTGGAGGTATGGCTAACAACCCCACATGAGAGAGCGCCCACTAGAATATTTCAGGGCAGTTATTGCTGCATTTTCCCCTCCTTGCCCCCCCCCCCCCCCCACCCCCCCCCCCAACCACGTCACCACCTCAAGACCAATAGCCTCTTGCCCGTGTGCTCACTGCACTCCTGTAGTCATCGCATCCAGGCGTGTACACATATACACACATTCACGTATAATTCCCGACATTTGCTTTTAGGAAGTTGGAATCCTACATACCCTTTGCAACTTCTCGGTGTCACCTTTAGGTTGGTGTACCTGTCTTCTCTTCGACGCTGCGTAATATATTTTTTTTGATGCTAAAGTTTTGTAATTACTCGACGATTCCTCCCTGGTGGGCCTTCCCTCGGCTTTCAGGCCACCCACCTCTTTCCCCCAAGAACAACCTCCCCTGAATGTGCATAGGCACTAATTTTATTTCCGTGCTGATTCCCAGGGGCCAGGGGTTAGAGGGTACATGCAAGATCGCGTTCCCAAATGCTGGTGGGAACGCGGCGGGCAGGAGTCGCCTATCCCAGCGCCTCCGCCTGCCCGTCAGACAGGTACAAAGTGGTGCCTCAGTTTCCCTAGTATTGGGCCATCTTTTCCTTGGTGGGAATTTAAGTTAGGAATGGCTGCTGAGTTACAACATCTATTATTGTGACTGTATTGTTTTTCCTCCATTAATTTTTTTCAATGTAATATTATGTTGATAAATTTCCTGATTCCACACCACCCTTACTCCCTGGAATACACCCCACTTGGTCATACTGTGTTCATTTGTTATTCTTTTGACACATTTTCTTGTCCTGTTTGCTAATATTTTCGAGTCTTTGCATCTTTAAAATGAGGGAGGTCACTCAGCCCATATGGGTCAGTGGTTGAGCACCGACCTATGAACCAGGAGGTCATGGTTCAATTCCTGGTCAGGACACATGCCTGGATTGCATACTTGATCCCCAGTGTGGGGCATGCAGGAGGCAGCCCATCAATGATTCTCTCTCATCATAGATGCTTCTATCTCTAGCTCCCCCTTCCTCTCTGAAATCAATAAAAATATAAATTTTTAAAATATAAAAAATTAAATAAGGGGGGGTCTATAATTTTCTTTTTTTCTTAGTTTCTTCATCATATTTTAGAATTAAAACGATGCTGCCTTTATAAGATGGACTAGGGAGATTTCCATCGTCTTCGATGGCCCATACTTAAGTTACATTAGAATTCCCTGTTCTAGTTTTTAAAGTTCGGTGAAAGTAGGCCATAAACCCGTCAGGTTCTAGAATTTTTTCAGTAGTTCCCTGCAGCCATCACCCCACTGTGCCCTCCATTAACTGGAATATTCAAGTTTCCCCTCTCTTCATGCGTCTATTTTTGTGGCATATTTGGTTTTTAAAAACCACCCAGTTCTCTTAGGTCTGTTAATTTGTTGCACATGTGC